CTCGTGCATCCAAGCTATTGCCTTCAATGCATAGCTCCTTTTCCACCCCCCGCTTGACAACTCACTGACAGTGCTGGATTTATGCACCAATTTACCAGCTCGCGCGTGCAATGCGCAGCTACTTATCCCCCAATCATCGGTGAACGAAACTGTGGCAGCTACAACCAGTGTACGACCAGTACGCGGTTATTACAGCTGACAATGATGATGATGATGATCTTCACGAGACGCCACTCAATTTGCTGGATGGACTCTTCCTGTCCTTTGTTGTTTTACGTATTTAGTCCCGTTTTCTTCGAAGGACCCATCGAAGTATTCGTTTGGCGTCCATTCACGGCGATGTCGCGGTTGAAATTGGGAGTCAGGTCGTAACAAAGAGATCTATGAAAAACTCTAAAGTAAAACGGTCGTTTCTCTGTTGTCTACGCCTCTCTCTGAGTGCAACATCCTACTTTGACCAAACGGTGGCAAACTGGAGTGTACAGAAGACTACCCAGACCTAATTAGCCACTAAATTGTATCCTGTATCCGTCAGTATTCGATGTATCAGTCGGTAAGAATAACAAGCCACGTGAATGTGTTGCAGTGAGCAACTGTCGCATGATAAATGATGCCAAAGTAGCGATATAGCAAAGGGTGAAATTTAGCTTGATGTTCTTCACTTCATTGAGTCACTAACTTCAACGTTTGTCAAGGGGAAACGTCTTTTTTAAATTCGAGACCATTGTTCAGTTAGGTCTCTGACAGTTCTGAGGCCTTGAGTTTCGTTTCATCTTTCAGAATTATCATTGGGCCCGTGAAACATGGTTTCCCCCTTTTTTGACGGATGGCCGAATTCACGGTTCTTCTGGAGGGGTAGTGTCACTGCTCACGGCACAAAATCATGAACTATATGGGAAAGTGAGAGTAGCCTTCAGGAATAGATCATCCTGTCGGAAAGGCTCGAGTGGCCTTTCTCTGGAATATTACTATAAATGCTTACGTAAGCCATGTGGTTGGCTGACATCCGAAGGGGATCTTCTGGTCGAATCACCTTCCGGAGGACCACAGTCCTCATCACTCAGCATTGATACAACAAAATCAGTGTTGTCACTGACCACCAAAACCAGGTATATTTGACTATATTTGACGCCTTAAATTGAAAAGAATGGGTGAGGAGAATATTGGGGCTGGCCTATCACTGGCATTCTGAGGTGTTTACACATCCAAGCGCTCGATTAGACAACGCCAGAAGAAATTGACGTAGAATATGTGTTGTTTCTCCCAATGTTGACATCCCTATCTTCGTATTAGCTTGATAGCTTACCCCTGCGGACTTCAACGGGATCTCCTGGCGCATTGTAAGTGCAGTATCGCTCTAATGGATGAAATCCTTACTGCTACCTTTTCCCGGTAATCTACATACAGTTATTGACAGTTTCATATGTGGTTGCTGCAATTCTACCTTCAGTTCACTCAGTATCCTTCAAAGAATACGGAATAAGTTAAAAACAACAATATAGGAATAAAGTCTGAATAATTCCAGTTCATCGTGTGCAATCTCTCTTTTCAAGGCTTGGTTTACTGTTTTGCCGACTCAAAATGTATTCGTCACTTTATATTTTCTTCATTCAGGCAGAGGCTGCGGTCGACCGTTTAGCTCCGTTGATTGGGGATTTAGATAGTGCTGATGAAATACGATTCCTTTTGCTGGAGCAGCGCTTTCTGGAGCATTTGGAGGCGAACGAAGTGATGCCTGCGGTCACCCTACTGCGGAACCGCATCACACCGATGCAACGCAACACGGAACGTGTTCACACGCTGGCGAGGTGAGCATCCTTTAGGTTTGCTTACTATTTGGGTGGACATCCTTCTTGTTTCAAGAACTATTTACCATTCAACATTCAAATTGAATTACTTACCTCCGTCTCCTTGCCTAAACCAGACAGTAGCAACGGTCACGAGGTTTCGTAGTTATGATAGGTTGTTTACGACAAATGAACAGCATTATGGTATAAATCATTGAACTGGACGTGCATCTTTGTTATATCAACTATGCACGTGTCTCGAAAGCTCCCGGAACTGCTTACTTCCTTATCCAATAAACGCGTACAACCTGTGGAGTCAGTGCTTGTGTACTCCAGCATTCGATGTGTTGGAGCAGAATAGCATGCGAACGGCAGTGGATTAATTACATAGAAAGGACATGCAAACAACACGGTTCACCAGTTTGATGCACGAGCCGTAGGATATTTTCGATCAGCAACCACACAAACCCGCATGGTTGTTAAATGCGAGGATGGAGATGACGATTCTCTATTTGGTTTTTGTTTGACATAGCATGGTTGGTTCACTGCTTGCAACCTGAGAGACAGAGATTCATCTACCCATTCCACGGGAGTTCGTCCGTATTCTAGGTGCTGTCGGCTTCCTCAATAGACTCGTAGATCGTCAGTCAGACTGCAGCGCCCGATACGTGTTCTTGCTCTTCCATCTCTGACAAGAAGGCACTCAGTGAGACTTCCTCAGTTGAGGACACATGGCAGTAAATGTGCTGATATTGCGGTGTTGCAAGGGACCTTTGTCAAAACACGCATCTACCACATTGATGCATTTCAGTACTTGCTCTCAAAGAAGTTATTCCGATTGAAACGACCGAGCTGACATGTGGAATGGACTGCTGGCGCAACAGTTCTGTCGATTGCTTGTTGAAAAGCCAAAGTTGTTTGGTTCGTTGTTGTCCCTTGCTTTCCGTCTTGACACTGACACTTATACCTATTCCTCACTAGTGATGTCACTTGTACTTATTTTCGGTTTTAGTTTATTTTGTATCCATATCTTTCGGCCTCAGCTGGATCATTCTTGTTCTTACATAATGTTGGCCGTTTTACAAGACAGGATTTCTGAGACTGTCACACGTGGCCCAATAGCTTTCCTCCGAAGAACAACCAATGTAGCACAGATAAAAACCCACTGCTTCAGTACCTGTCTGCTCAACACATATAAAAGGGTGATTGGAAGTCTACGCTTCTTCACTGTTAATCTATTCTACTCTCTACAAGTGTTCCGCACACTGGGTTGAATGGCTCGGTGTCTCCCAGAGAACAGTTCAGTATGTACCACCGCAAATTAGAACCCCAAAGGCCAAACACTTGACCTGCACTTGCAAGCCACTTGGTCGATATGGCCCACTAAATTAATGCAGTCCAATCGTTCAGCATAATCTTCTGAGTGTCGCCTGATCGTTCAAAGGTCATTCGCAGCCGCTTTGCGTCAACATCACTCTGTCAAAAAAAGTCACGTGAAAGTTTTGAGTTTACCCTGACCAACTGACGTCTCTTTCTGAGAAAGATCAAAGATTCATCCGAGTGCCGGTTCTGAGTTCTAAGTATTAGAATCTCGTTCATTATCCTTTCATCCTTGTAAACCATTTGTAAACGTGCCTGTCTGATGAGATTTGAAAGCCCCACTCGCCACAACCCTATCCTGAATTCGGGTGAGACTATTTACTATCCTTATTATACATAGTCTGGGTGGCGTTTTTTTTTCTGTCGTTGGCAACTGTTTTCAGCGGCTTGTCTCCCACTGATTGTTACGTACAATAATGATACCCAACACCCACTTGCTAGTCATCGACCATGCGTCCATACACCGTGCCGACGTGCTAACAATGTTAGCGGCGAACTTCTTTTGTTTGCTAGGATCGTTGTTTTCATAGTTAATCCCAGCGTTCATATTGAAATTATTGTTTCTCTTTTTAAGCTGTTTGATGTGTCGAACTAATGTAGAACTTCGTGCACAAGCTGGCGGCTGGGCCGGTAAAGATGCGGGAAGCCGTTTACAGCTTATCAATCGAATTCAGGCTTTTGTCCCCCCTCAGACGATGTTGCCTCCTCGACGACTGGAAGAACTTATAGAGGATTCAGTTCGCGCACAGCTGTCCACTTGCATTTTCCACAACCCTCCCCTCGGTGTTCCTACGGACTTCAATAGTATATCACTTTTGCAGCGACACGCCTGTGGCATGTGAGTCAGATTGATGAGCGATACGTTCCGTTTTACCTGCAAATTTTGGTCGTTCATTCCCTTACTCTACTTTAATAATACTTTACATTTAGTTTACCCGATGCGATGAGGCTCGTTTTACTTGGGTGATTTGAACTGGAGCGGTCTTTTCAAACCCAGTACCAGCTAATTTGGGTGGAGTTGTCTCCACAGATTTCAATTTCCGTATCACCAGTTTTGTGAACTCGTACCTTAGTCATTAGTCAGTGAAAACGTCATCCATCATCATCACCATTGTCAGCTGTAATAACCACGTACTTGTCGTACAGTGGTTGTAGCTGCCCCACAGTTTCGTTTGGCAGAAAAAAATACTCGGACCTGAACCAGTTTCCTTAGCGCATGTCTGATTCCGATGTGCACCGCCTCAGTCGGCTACAGTTGGTCTCAATCGCCCGAATCGATCTGAGTGAGCCGTAGTTTCTGGTTGCATGTTCACATTTGTCATCTTCGCTTACGCTCAGTGAGAAACGCAGTCAAGCCGACGAATACCTTACCTGAGTTAACCAGCTCGCTGACACACTCCATCCCAAACCTTATTTGGATTCGAATCAGTTTCAGTGTGGTAGACAGGGTGTCAGTGCATTTGTGCCTCCTCCACGCATACAAGTGACAGCTGCAGTCTATATATGGTGCACAGCTATTTCGCCCATCATTCAGTCAATACATTTGCATAACTGTATGTTAGCTCACAAATGTCCAAATTCAAGTTTAGAGCTTATAGCTAGTCAAACCAATGTGGACTTACGTGATAGTTGCCGGATGTTTGGGCCTGTTGAGCTGCAGAACCTACTTATATCATTAGAATGCTCAGTATATGATCCTCCGTGATACCTTCGAATCACTGAGCTTCCTACCGTTTGAACGAACCAAACGGTTCGAACATAACTCCACTTGGGTTGTGAAATTTTTCTTCAGAACACCGTGGCGAAAAACACTGTTAACACCACACTAGTCGCGTGTCTTTATAGGCTCATAGTGACAAGTTAATTGGTATCAAAACGTTTAAGATGAGGCCGCACAAAAACACGTAATTATTTCTCTCCTTTGCGTATTCCTCGATTGTCTCGCCACTGAAATCAACTACTAATGCGCTTAAATGTATAAGCGGCTCGTGTGCACCCTATTGTAGGACTCAGTAGTGAGTACCGAGGATATACGACGCTAAACAGCCTACTTTTTGCTATAGTTACTTAAATCAATCCACAATACAAAACTGTGTTCGGCTCCGGGAAACTTTCGACGCACCACTGACTGGACCAAAACGATGGTCATTATGCTCGTCACTTCCAGTGTACATGTCACATTTGACCAAAATGCTTGCTGTCTGCTTAACGCTGTTGTGAGTTTTTATGGGAGATGAAACTCATCTGTTAAGCATATTGTCTAATCATGTTCCCCAATGCCCCATCCTAAAGCACGACCCAACCCAACCTGTCCTGTCATGGAAGCCAAAGGGTTCCTGGTCATCGTTCCAGTTTCTTCTACTTACCGTAAACCCGTCAATCTAACTGACAGAAGGCTTAGCGAACCCACTTTCTCAAGATCTCCATTTTAATCAACTTTGTCCAATACCGTATAATATATGGGATTCATTGTGCACACAGGGGCCAAGAGCTATGCAAATTACAGCATACCTAACGACGGCAAAATGACATCTCGAACTTTTTGCTTCATTTCTGGTCCATCTTCAGTTTGGCATCCCACTGGTTAATTGTTATCATCTCTGTATAGAACTGGCACACGGACTACCTTCTGTTCACTGCGTCACGTTTTAATGTGGCTTAGATGTATGTTCCTTTTGACGTTTCTTCAAACACCTTTGAAATTTAGATGGAACATGAAAGCTGAGATTCTACAAGGTTGCTCAAAGCTAGACAGTAGCTGTCGGGATGCAGAGGCTGAGTTTGAACCATCCGGTTAGTAAGTTTGCCCCTAACACCTGAGTTCGCTCCAAACACTAGGTGACCGTTCCTCTCACACATCTATCACCTGAAAACCCATTGTTAGCAAAACGCTGTAAGAGCTGTGTTCTCCAACTGCTTCCAGTTCCCTCACCCGAAGTCTCTTCTCATACGATGCCATAATAATCTTAATTGTATTGTCTGTTATTGTTACCACTTATGGTCTGAGCAATGGATGGAATCAAATTCACAAATGTCAGCATTGAAGAGTGCATGTTGTACTGCACTTAATTTCAATTCCTCGCTTTTTGTGCTTATTGGAACCAGTTCCAAAAAAGCGAGAAAATTTGGTGCATTTTACTCAGGTTCAACGAATTTCAAATATCGAGTCCCCCGTCCAGAATCAAAGTACTAGGTATTGGGGATATCTTGCCAAATCCTTCCTTCGAGTTCACATCCCGCGAGCGTATGTTGTAATGGTAGATCACTTTTGATGAGGACAATTCAGTGTTGCTTGGGATACTCACTTATCTGCTCTCTATCCCGAGAATAGTTGACGATCACAAATTTCAATTTATAATTAGCGAAACTTCTGTCATCAGCTTAGGATGGACGAGAGTTCTACGGGTGAATCATTGAATGAAACCGTTTTTAACAAGTTCTCTGGTTTCTAAAATGGTGGCTATTCCATTGCCCACTCAACTGCAAATTCAAAATCCATACTGCCTTCTCAGTTACACCCTCTTTTGTTCTTAAGCGGCCACTGTACACTTTCTCCGCAAAGCAATCTATCGGCTTATTTACACATTTCCTCACGATTTATCCTTCCCAACTCCCACAGGCAAGATTTTCCTGCTTTCTGTATCCAAACACTGCACGAACGCGATGGTGAATTGTGGTTATGTCAATTCTCCCCGGATGGTTCCTATTTGGCTGTCGGAGGCAAGGATGCGAACGTGGATGTGTTCCGGGTGGACCCAGTCAGACACACGATCTCACGCTTCCGTGTTCTTACCACTCCGAGCTACGTTGGGTGTCTATGTTGGTCTCCAGACTCAAAAAAGTAATGCTTTTTGGCTAACATCCCGGTTGGTTCTCACACAGAACCTTCATTATTATTACTTTTATTACTAGTGAGCCGTTAACCTGTCATCTGGACACCGACAGTCTGGTAGTGGTGGTTTTGTTAACTTCGCGTTGGCTTTTATTTGTTCGAACGTATACGTGTGCGATAGATGGAACTTGCGTTGCATCCCTGTTGTGCTACCTTGCACTGGTGAACAAATGCAAAATGGCTAAAACGCCGTAAAAATCAATAGGTTGAGTATATCTTGTCTTATGATCACAAGGTTACTTGAATTTTATCGGCCCTTTGCACACCGTTCTAGAAACACATAATTATCGACGGTTGGTAGTTAGTTATCGATCGTAAGGTAAATTAGTTAAAGAAATAATTGTGTATGTGGTTTGGCGTTTAGTAAAAAAAAACTCCGGGAAGCAGTGTGATAGTCTTCACTGCACTTCCAGGTTCTTTTCTTATTTGATGTAGTGCCGTCCATAACCTGCTGTTGCAAGTGGATTATTCCTGAATGGTAGGATTCTCCTAACTTGTCCTCGAGTTTCATGAAGGGCGTGATAATCAGTAGCAAAGGTCACGCCCAAGTTAAATCACCAGCTGCGCAAGACTAGTCGACTGACGCTTGATCCTGGAGCCATCGCTTGTATCTGCTGAACGAACTGAATTTCTTACAGAGAGAACAAAAGTTCCTAAGTAATTGGCTGGGTCCTTCGGGCCCTAACCACGTTTTCAACTGACGTGGACGGGTGAACCACTAACGCCATTTCACACACGATAACCACAAGAGCATGTGTACCACTCGGCCTTAGTTGTGATTCTCATGGTTTATTCGACTGTCCCATTCTTTCCCGATGATGACATTAATCAGGGCTAGTCAAGCTCAACGTCTACCATGGGATTCTAATTGACGTCATTCTCTGGCTAATTTTTAATTTGTTTTGGAGTGTCCACTTGCTGTCTGCTACCTCTCATGATCGTTACGGCGCGTTGTAACGAACACATCACCTGGAAATGTTAGCTGAAATTTCATGCCGACCTAGGTATCCCTTGAATAAACGCTCATACTTATCGCGGCAAAGGCCCGTTTTCACGTCGCCCGCAATATACTGCAATCAGTATTTGTTTTTCTTTCTCGAATGTTAATCATTCTGCCAGGAAGCCATCGATTGCTTGCTTTGCAAAAATTATTGAGGGCGGGCAAACTGTGCGGAAATCTGGTTCGTTTGGGCGCTTCGCATTCACTCATGACAGCTTCAGTTGTCTTTGAACGTCCTGGATATCAGCAGTGAAGCATCGGTGTTGAACACTGATGTCATGCTGTCGATGATGATGATGGTGGTGATTATGATAATGACGATATCGTTCTGTAATCTACACATCGCGCTTTTTGCCTTATGATAAGATTCTGTCTCGTCGTCTCTCGATCGCCGCCGGTCCAGGCCCGGGATACTGGTGACATTGAGACAGTTACTTCACGCTACGTGGTTCCAGTTTAAACAGTACTTATGGCCCCTCGGTGTTGGATTTTGCGAATTTTGGAAAGTTCTGTGGTCTCGTCATAAGTTTTTTTGTCACACTGATTTCATATATTTCCTCCTCAGATTGGCTGCATGCTGTGGCGAAGAACAAGGTTCTGTGCTTGTGTTTGACGTGTTAAGTGGACAACAGCTGTGTAATCAAAAAGTGCATGACGAAGACACCTACTCATCGGCAACCTTCTTTGCAGACAGTCGAAAGCTGGCTTTTGGGGGCTTGAAAGGTATCTTCTACGTCATGGTACGTTCCATCAAATGTTCAGTTTCTCGTATGGTTGCTCTCTAGCCCGTTTCTCTGATAGTTTGCTCACAATAAGGACGGACGATAGTTTTTCCGACACTACAGTGCTTTTCACATTAAACCCTGTCACAAACTTTACTGTTTTCGAGGCCTCTATGGACTTGCTAGAGTTTTTTCTTCGTATCTGAGGATTCGCAACATGTCAACCACGCATTTAAGGATATCGATCAATCGTGCCGTCAGGTAGAATGCCGACTTTCGTTTCGAAAACCTACCTAGTTGTACCCGTAAATCTGCCACTGAACAAACGCTGATTCATATTCATCATGAATTCAGAGCTCTTCATGCGCTCGGTCCAATGCTGTCAACATTCAACGTTGAGTTTGACAATCAACACCTTCCACTCTGCGCTCGGGTCAATAAATTTCACATCCATAACACTAACTGTTACTTGAGGTGTCGGGTGTGCATTAAAAGGGGTAGCCGGTGTCATAAAATCTAATAAGGTTTATCCCAGCTACACGATAAGCGTAGCGAGCAACGATCAGATCGGACATCTTCATCGAATTAGGGCTGAGATCGTTCAGCTGTAACACGCTTTCGGTGCGTAGTTGCCACACCACCTGAAGGCAGCACGGCGCTGGGATACTGCCCAAGCCCAGACAGGGGGCTGAGGTAGGTATGTTTGAACCTGCATACGTGATTTGCGTACTTGTCGGCATCCTTTTTAACGAGGGTGTGGCTAGAACACATGCAGGATCAATGAAACAACTACATTTCAAACTAAATGAAATGTGTTTATCCAGACGCATTGAAACAGATCCACAATCAGTGTCGTAGGTGTTAATACACCTATGATCTGTGTTTGTCGATACTCCCTAGCGTCCGTATTTCGCTGACACCTTAAACGATGCACCGTGGAGCGGTTCATCTGTGTTTCCCTCAGCGAACTTTGAAATCCAGGATTTTTACCGAGTGGACAACTTTTCCCATTGCTAGAAACAGAACGTTAAGCACCGGATCATGAGCCTCAAGCGATTGGTTAATTTTATCGCACCGAAAATCCGTGACCTCCGTCACCCTTATGTTTTGTTGCCTGTCTCAAAATTAGAAACGTTGACTATGAAAGCATCGTCACGCCTCGCGGCGATGAGGCTTCCATGTTTTTTCACAGTTTCCCCTGCTGTTCATCACGAAACTGCCTTCCCATGCTTCGTACGCACCTTCACTCAGATTATTCCCATTGACTCTGGTCCAGTGGTTCATTTTTTTCGTTAGTTATCAAACCACGTTACCGATGTCACTTCCCTGACACTTCCATTCTACCGAAACAGGACACCGAAGACCAAGGTCGGATATTGACAAGTGTTGAAGGCTACCGTGTGCAAGGGATGGCGGCCATTTTACCTTCGATGCCCCACGTTGGTTTGGACGTGAACTTGGACGGAAACAAACTGAATTCAGGCTTGGATTTTAGCGCCCCTGGAGCTCCAGATTCTATTCTGAGTGGTTCTGTCCCTATGGATTCCACCCTATGTCCCTTTCCGAATGCATTAACTGGCCAGGTCGATCAGTTGTTGATCGCTGACAGCCTACACCGAATCCGATTGTTCCGTTTCGGAATGATTGGTCCCGCCACAAATTCCGCTGGTCCCACCTTACCGCCAGGTGTTCCATCAGAGTCAGGTGACCCTTCTACACCCTCTTCTGATTCTCCGCCGACCGCTGCCTCTACTGCGCCTCCTACAGCAACCACAGTCACTGCAGTTAGTACGGCAACCTCAACAACTGAGGAAGAACACACACAGCTCTCCAGTCCAACTGACCTCTCCGTTTACCTAGCTTCCAGCGGGGCCCCCGGAGCTCCAGGTACGGGTTCCGTCATAGTTTCCACCGATAGCTCGAGCGTCGTGCCCATTTCTTCTGTTGTGAGCACGGCTTCTGATAACCCATCCATAGCGGCTGCTCTCACCGTTGCTCGTCTGTCCAGACAACAGCAACGTCTACTTCAGTCCAGTTTGAATAGTGGAGCCACTTCTACTGGACAGTTATTTTGGAATCCCCAGTCTCCCTATCATTCGAGCCGCTCCATTCCACACGGGCTGAACACACAGACAAGTTCCGTCTCTTCCTATTCCCCTGCATCCTCCACCCTACCCCGTGAGTTACACTGTCCCGTTAGCACTGCGCTCCCGTTTTAGAATCGGGCATGCACGTGGCGCGAACGGAAAGCGTCATACAACCGACTGAGTGCTCAAATCAGCCTCTCGTTAGTAGCATACTTGTTTCCGCACTATCCGATTTTCCTTTTAATTTTTATTTGTCTAGTGTACTGTTCTGACCCATTCGTGTCCACCGTTGCTCGTTCGTATCACTCAGGACGTGGATGACAGACGTTGCTGTTGGTTTGTGGTCTCCTTGAAACATCACAAAAACCTCCGAAATTCAACAATGTATTAGACCACTCGTCCCGACACTTTATCTCCTGCCTAGTATGGCCTCCAGACAGCCTGACAATGTCGATGACAAGTCTGATACTTGCGAGTCCCCCGCAACAGCTATACTATCATATTGTACAGGTAGTTGTTACAATGGGGAACGTTAGTGCTGTAGCACTAAGACCACGTCAACAAAACAGCGATGTTTCATGAGGCTGCTTAAAGCTCTTCGACAGCCCACGACCGGTCTTGCTCTTGTGGCCCATTCGGTAGGTTTAGTCCCTTAGTTTCCTTCAACCTTATGTTCTCCTTGAACCAAAATCAGGCACTTCCTGAGGGGGATTCAGCTGAGTCTCCAAATAAAGCTTGAGTAGTGCGTCAATGCATGTATTTCGCGAAGACAATCACATTTGACTACCCGAAATGAGCGTCCACCTAATGTGGATACCACGCACGCTCATGTGCCGTGACATCTCGGTGAATGAAGAGATCCAGTACGACTGTTTGACCTGCCCAGTTGTGAGCCTATCAGATGGGACGAGTCGATTTAGACTTGGAGGCGGGTCACAGTGAGTGTGTTTCCAGAATCCAGCATGCGAAACCGTTTCTCTCGCATACACGACCGCTTGTGTGTCCATTCGTCTTTCAGAAGGTTATACTCGATTAATAACAGTCCAGTTTTCTAAAGCTACAAATCATACACCAAAGTTCACTAATTCTGATTGCTGCGGTTCCATTCACCGAAGGAATGATAGCCACGTTTCGGAGACGATGTCCCAACCAGTTCATTGACACGAATTCGTTCTGCTTGTCCAGTATGGTAGGCGTTGAGAGAGCAAAAGTAGTAGTTTTGGTTACGTGATATAACCACACCTGTCGGGATCACCAATCATTCGTTTGTGTTGAATGTGTTTAACTGTAGCCTGTAGCCTTCCCTCAGTAATGGAATTCACACCATGTGGTCACGTGTTGACCGGCTCCTCAACGTGATGTGAATTCCGTGGTTGAATGGGGTTACATCTTGTCTATGTACATGTTAAAAAAATCGTTCAGCTGTGCACCCTTTTGGTGCCTAGCTGCCATGCCACACGAAGGAGGCACGAGGGTTGGGATACTGTCAGGTCGCCCAAGCCTAGACAGGGGAAGTCGAGAGGCAGAGGTCGGGTTCGAACCACGGACCTTCCGGTTAGTAAGTTCGCACTCTAACTACTTGGCTAATCACCTTATTAATCAACCACTTGTGACCAAACGGCTTATGCCAACACTAGTAGCCGAGAGGTTGGAAGTCCGAATCTCCTTGGAGATTCGTAGGATGCACGTTGTCGGGGATTCCCACTAGGAGGCTTAAACACCTTAGCTTTTCGACGTAGAATAACTTAATCTACAGAAAGAAATCTCAAGAACATCCTTTCGACGGTGTTCACTTTTGTACTAGTAAGAGGGTGCTGTTTGCACACAGTCGCTCACCATTGGTATGATTATGGAACTGAATTGCACAGGATACGAACATGTAGTTTCGTCCTTTGATTTGGTTTAGTGCTTTGTTGAAGGCCTCGCCATCTTGTCACGCCAGACGAGTTGTCCTCTAAATTTGCGTGACCCCAAGTAGCACAAGATATATCCATGTTATAGTTCGGCGGATCGATCCAACCTAATTTTGCGAGCACTGGGTTATGCCTAGCTATCGAACAGCTCTTTCTGACGCACATAGCTAGCACACTAAATCATCATCGACCCATTCGGCCGATAGAGCACTTACAAGGGATGGAATCTCATCAATTTCAAGCTTGATGATTCAATTCTCCGAACGTGATTCACACCGTGTCAGTTTGATGTCTGGCTGCGCTATAACTATATTTGGTAAAGTACGTTTATGTGGTCCGACGAGAAAGCGCACTTTATCCTGGGTTGAAACGATCGATTGGAACACGCGCTAGACATCCCGTGATGTGCTCAAGGCCAGTGAGTTAAAAGTACAACCTGTTTGGGTCGGAGATATCATCAAAGGCATTCGGTGAAGTGGTGACAGTGAACGACTAGACGTGTCCTAACGCCCATCGGAATCTGCGATCTAGTTTCGTGTGTGCCAGTAGTCGGCAGTCTGTGTGCACTTTTCTCTAAACGTTGTTTTCCGGAGCCAGTGCTAGCAATCTACCGGAAATTATCTAAATGTCTTCACCCTAACTACAAATTTTCTACCGTAATCGGTTCTCCGGCATAGGTTCAGGGTGTGGCGGATTCCAAATTCTAAAGTGTTCCTTAACATGGAAACTATCGATGAATAACATCACTGTCTAATTCCGCTTGACACCTTGCCGTTTTCAGGCAGTTATCCGACGTTCGGCCTCCGTTTGAGTATCTGGACAACTAGACCGACGGCCTCTATCCAGGTGTCGAAAAGCGAGTGGTGCTAGGTATGGAAACTGTCCAACTGTCTTACTCCGATGTTTCGCTCAGCTGTTTCCCTCAGTACGCACCCTGTCTTGGCTAAGTAGAAACTAAGCGCCACTGTTGACGTGATTTTGTGTAGGCTCATTTGTGAATGTCTCATTTCATTGGGATCCTATAGTTTGGACGAGGCTACTATCTCAACAGGCGACTTACTCGCTGTTCATACCAATTGCACTGGATGGATTTTCTGTCTGATAAAGTGAGTGAGATGCAGTCAACTAGCTTTTCTCAAGCTTTCTGTTGTCGTGGGTGAGGTAGTATCATCGTCTCCGATGTCATGTCGTCCGCTACAATGGATACACATAAAGCATTCTCACGACTACCGTGGAACTCGGATTATCTCAGTTGCTTAAGCCGCTGGTCCTTTTTTCTCACACGTCAGCTGTTGGGCCTTATTGGAAGCTCTCGGTCTTCGATCACTAGGATGAGGTCTATGACTACACGGATATCAAGCAAACCTTTCATTCTGGGACATCAACTCGGTCGCATGTCTTACGTTAGCTACTAACGTCAAAACATTAATTCATTAGTGTTGTGTCTGTCCCGCTTTGTTTTTGCACTCCTCACCCTGTTTGGTGTCCCTGTCATTCGACAGAATCAGGCTGAGGCAGTCCTAGTTTATCGCATTACTGATTCAATAGTTTTACGTACCCGCCACGTGTTGTGCCATTGTGGTGCATATGCTTTCTGGGTCAGCGGCGATCACGTTACCAGGGAACAATGCGATAGCCAATGGAAACTGACTGTATATGTGTACTGTTCTTTTTCTTGACGGAACATGTCGAAAACTCTTCGACAACCCACGACCAGTCTCTTGACCCTCTTGGGGTCCATCACATAGGCGCAGTCCCCGAGGTTCCAACGTGGTGTGTCGCAAGCACACGTTTCACCTCAATCTGGTCTCTCTATCATCAGAAATCCCGCGGTGAGCTGATATAACACCACTGTTTTCGCTCTCTGTCTTATCAACCCGCACAGTTTTCCACCGCTTGTAGTTATCTGTTGCGTATTGTCTTGTTCCTGTTTCCCTTCTAGCTGGCATCTTATTTGACATGCCCATTCTACCTGTCAGTTTGGCTCGACTGGGGCCGTCCAGTGCTCAGGGTTTACAACAACCTCCACAACCGTCCTCCCTCCGCCCTGTCTTACATCATTCCGGTTCCACACTGAGTGGCACCCCCTATACAGTGGTCTCCTCGTCTAGCGGAGGCAACTTAGGATCTGGTGGCAGTAGCCTGACCATACTATTTGGTACTCCGCTGGAACGCTCAGCCTCATCTACATACCCGGGCCCTACCAGTACCACAACCGCTACGACCTCCGCCGAAGTCCGTGCTCTGACTGCGGCTGCTGCAGCGGCCGCCCTGGCCGGATCACACTCACAGTCCTTTGCCGCCCTGTCATCATTCCGGTTCCACACTGAGTGGCACCCCCTATACAGTGGTCTCCTCGTCTAGCGGAGGCAACTTAGGATCTGGTGGCAGTAGCCTGACCATACTATTTGGTACTCCGCTGGAACGCTCAGCCTCATCTACATACCCGGGCCCTACCAGTACCACAACCGCTACGACCTCCGCCGAAGTCCGTGCTCTGACTGCGGCTGCTGCAGCGGCCGCCCTGGCCGGATCACACTCACAGTCCTTTGCTGGGCTAGTTCATTCATTAACTTCAATGGTCGCCGCGACATCCTCACTGGATACAAGCAGCAGCACCTCTGGCGCCGGTCGTGCTGCAACAGCTACAACGGATGCCAGTGTTGGCCCAGTGGTGTCCACATCCACTTCAACTGTGGCTGCTCTGAGTTCGGCGGCCAACTTGGCTTCCACAACAGGTTCGTCTTCTGTCACTTCCACCACCGGATTCACACCCTCCAGTGCACAACCTGCTACACAACTCACCAACGGAAGCAACTACGGTCTACTGGATCACCGTACCTTGTTCAAGGAGACGCACGCGGTTCAATCGATCACAATGTCTAGGTCCGGACAGCGTGCTCTTATCACAATCCACAAGATGGTCAGTTCATGTATCCATTTTACGTGTGTACTGTCACATTCCTCTTCTGAATTGTCAGTGCAATCCACTGCAACACTAGCTTTTGCGCGCTAATGCTTCACTGACATACAGTCATGTTGTTTTGTTTAGTCAATGACCCATACCGAAGAGAAGAACAAAACTACCGCCTACATTAAACATTTAATTGAACATTCTGGATACGAATGACAGCGCAGAATTCAGTTTTTCGTTGCTACTTATCTCTCATTTCTCATGGTCTAGTCCATGCTCTCGTACATCAACTCACTTTATCAGTGTTTGGATCTATTGATCGGGTGGATCACTTTCGATTCAGTTTCTAGTGAAATAAACTCATGTGCATACCAATTTGGTTTTGATGAGTGACTCACCTGGAGCCCAGCTGAATCTCTCGTTTATAATGTTTCTAAGCAACCGAATGTGCTGCATTTTCAGTTGGCGAGATATTCAAGACACCGCGACACATATTATAGGCTTAATACACTATTAATAAGGTTGCTTTTGTGTCGAATGGTACTGTGGTATATATCTCACCACGGACTTTTGCATTCTCAATAAAGTATGACAGTTTCGTTGCGGTTAATTATAGGTTTATAGATGCGTCAAAAGTTCATTTATGCCTCCTCACTCACGCGTCTGTTTCAAAGGGTCTTCACCTTTGGGATGTGGAGTCATGCGCCATTGTTCAACGATTCATTGGTTATAAACAAGACACTTTCCGACTGCATTCTACGTTCGGCGGAGCGAACGAGAATTTTGTGGCTACCGGAAGCGAAAGTGAGTTGTTTTTTGTGTTTATGGAGAAGTGAATTTGGTAGCAACAAACGCTTCCTTATATAGACTTAGTTTGCGATAGCGCAGTGGTTAAGACTTGAACTCATTGACAACGCCTTCGGACGTCCGAAGTTAGTTGCTTTTCTGGATTTGAAAGCTGCTTTTGATTCTGTCGATCGTCAGCAACTGTGGCACTGTCTGGCAATCAAAGGTGTCCCTTCAAAATTTCTCTTTTTTATGAGGGTATTGTATGCGAACTCCTGCGGGCGCGTACGAGTATACGGCAAGCTTTCGCCTGAGTTCACCACGTCCAGTGGTGTAAGATAAGGCTGTTCTCTTTCCCCTTTCCTCTTCGACTTTGTTATGCTGCTTGAAGCTTCTCTGCCTGCCTCTGAAACCTGGGGATTCGAAGCACTCCCGGGACGTTCCCTCACAGACTGAGTATGGAGACGATATTGTTCTCCTTGGTTCAGATCCTTCCCAAATGGAAACGATTCTAAATAACGTAAGTAACTCTGCAGCACGGTTTGGCATGCGCTTCGCACCTGCTAATTGTAAAGTGCTGCTACAAGACTGGGTGGGATCAAACCCACACCTCATGGTTGCGAGTGAGCCAATCGACGTGGGCAGCTGTATACTTTCCGGTGGACTGGCTGGAGTTGAGTTTACTTCTCAAATCGGAAAGGCCAGTGCGGCTTTTGCCAACCTTCGTGACGTAAGCTTATCTGTCAAGGGAAGAGTTTACACTGCGATGATGCGATCCATAGTGCTTTATGGACCAGAGACGTGGCCCCTAAGCGCAGATGTCATACGGAAGATGTCACTGTTTGATCATCGGTGTCTCCGCAACATTGGTCAGGTCTGGTGAGAACATCGGATTAGTACTGCTGAGCTACGTCAAATGGTCTTAGGAAGAAGAACTCTCCCGCGAAGAATGAATTACGCTTCATAGATTACGCTGGTTAGGACATGTACTCCGCATGCCAGAAGACCTGCCTCACAGAGCTCTTTCCGCCCGGCCCTGTGCTGAGTGGAAGCAACCGGGAGGAGGACAGCGTATAACCTGGCAACGAAGCACGAAAACACGCTAACTAACTTGGTCAGGTGAGGAACTGCCGCCTCCCTGGATGGGGACCCCGGGACTCAAGTCACCAGTGGTTAATGACATTGGCGGAAACGGCCCAATCGCGCAGAGAGTGGCGCTCTCGCATCAAAGCTATCGCCTTCAATGCGTAGCTCCCCAAATTTTCAGCAACCTTATAAGTAGTACATTACATCACCGGAAGGTCCGTGGTTCGAACCCAATCTTGACATGTCGACTGCTCCTGTCCAGGCTTGCGAACCGGACAGTATCTCATTCCTCGTTCTCGCTTTGGATGGTATGGTAACTGGGCACCGAAAGGGTGCTGCAGCTGGACGACCGATATTGAAATGGTTCAAATAATAAAAAGATAATCGTTCAGCTCTAGCACATTTCAGTGCACAGCCGCAGTGCCACCCGATGGAAGCACAAGGGCTTGGATACTGCCAGGTTGCCCAAACCTAGACAGGATCAGTCGAGATGCAGAGGTCGGGTTCGGACCACGGACCTTCCGGTCAAAAAATTCGCGCTCCAACTACTGAAATGCCCCGTTAAAACGTAACCTCCGACCTCAAAGAATGCCCTGAAATTCCAAGAAGACGTTGAGGAATGTTCAGATGCCAACATATTACACCCTTCCATGTCTGCCAACGTCAGACTGACCTGGAAACCAGTAGTTACAGCGATTTGAAAATACTTGTGATTGTGAAAGGTAAACTAGGAGTAGATGACGTTAAAAACGTGATACCCACATGGTTTCTTGTAAATGCACATTTCACCGGCCCACCCACCCACTTGGAATTGTTCTTATGATCGATTGAGTGAAACATTCATTCCCCCTCGGTGCGGTTCAGCAGCGGATTTATCGAAGCTCACCACGATTAGTTGTTCAATTAAACAGATTGCATTGATTTCATGGAAAGTGCAAATAGGGTTGCAGTGACTGACCGGAGCACGTGACGACCTGGGCTAGATACGCCGCGAGAACCTTCAGACCTGTCAACTTGTGTATATACCAGAAGTACACCAACTTACGGCTACTTTTGCTTGTGAATAGTGTATAAATTATCCTATTCCCATCCTCATTCTGGCGCCCTGACGGCATTCCAACCCCTCCCCCTGATAAAATTGAACCTCGGAGCTGCTTTTCTTTCACTGAAATCACACGGAAGTCTCCACAATATCGCCGTTTTCTCCGCCATTCCATTGACAATACATCTATGTTATTTGGGTTTCCGGATCCGCAATTGACATGTCAATATCTCCGCCCTCTAGCAAATACTTCATTTCTCACAGCCGTACAATACGTGGGAAAGCTGTCCAATTTATCCGTATAGGAGATTGCTAGAGGTAGTTCAGGAACCGACCACTGACGGAGGGGTTTAGTATTCGAACCCACCTCTGCCTGTCTGGTTGCTCCTCTCTTAGATGGAACAACCCGACTCCGAGTAGGACAGCAGCTGTAGGTCGGAAGGGTGCCACAGTTGAGCAATTCGCATTTATCTGACCCATGTGAAGAGTCTTCGCCTTAGTTGTAATATGGACGGCGCACAGCCGTGGTACAATGTATTCATGGTTGAGTAGGTGTTCCGCAGTCACTGGTGGACACGGTTGATATGCACGCCTTGAGAGCATATAGTCTGTTCTGCGAAGATTGGGGCTTCAGTACAATTTCTGCAACCGAAAGGAGGAAAAACTTGACAAGCCCAAGCCGAAAGGCAAAACAATGACTCGCCAATAATCGCAGCAATCAGCGGCCACCATCACTCTGTTAGAGGTGATTTTCTGGCCTAATCCAACACCATCTCATTGATTTATATCACTATTGACGGTCTCAATGCACGAGCGAAGCAACTTACGGTGATTGTGCTCACCTGTTCACGTGGTCTCTCGAGTCTACTTTTGACATAGACTGCGTCTATAGTACTTCATTAGAGACGCACTAAAGTAACATTCCAGAAAGCTTATCACTGAGTTGAAAAACAACACGTCCTGAAAGCGATGCCCGTCGGTCTTCTCGTTAATGTCTGACGGCACGAGTGACTTTCGAATTACGGGTAATCTTTCGAGTTCGAGGTAGCATAAAGTTGAAGGCCCGGCTTACCTTATCTATTTTGACGCACATGTTCACAACGCCGTAGCAAGGTAGCTGCACAATTTAATTTTCCAGTAATCTGTTTTTCTCGTTTCCTACCTACCGAGCAAACATGCGTAAGAAATGTGCAATTTAGGTGGGGATAGCGGAACGGATAAAGTGCATATTGGACAGTCAATGCACGGGAAGGTCTAAAGCATTAGGAGAAAAATTAGACCACAAATTAGATCCCGACCTAAAGCTGCCCCCTTGACGTGGTGGTCGGGCTTTAGTGCTGCAACGATCCCGCGGTCTAACGCGGAGAAAAATTAGACCACAAATTAGATCCCGACCTAAAGCTGCCCCCTTGACGTGGTGGTCGGGCTTTAGTGCTGCAACGAACGCGCGGTCTCCACTGGCTGGAACTTCGTTCCACAAGATGCAACCATGCCAGGAAGGCCAAAAGGGAGCAGCCGGACCAAGAGCAGTGAGACCCCGTACTACGAGTAACCGTGCTACGAGCCGGTCTGGGGGTAAAGTCGTACTGTCCTCTGCGACAGGAGTGTGAAGGCAGTAAGGTGTTTCCCCCAGGCGACCAGCATGTCCATATTTATGGAAGCAGCGATGCTGCCTTCCCCCGAGGAAGGACGGGTTAGAAAAGGTCGGCCCCAAAAACCGCACACTCCGATCGCCCAACGGTTGACCGTGACCGCCGGCGCATTATCCGATACGGTCGAAATACTTTTAAAACCAAAGAGCCCGGTGCTGCTCAAAAGGCACCTGCTGTGCGCAGCCGCATCAGGAATGAGACAGTAATGCCTTATTCCCTGCGCCCTCGGGTTAGGCCAACCCCCTGCAGCCGAGCAGGTCAGACTATTGAGTCATCGGCTCCGGGCAGGGTCCCCAAAGAAAACCCTACATTCTCCCACTGCCTCGTGGGTCAGACTTTTGAGTCAGAGGCTAGGGTCAGGGTCCCCGAACAAAACCCTACGTCATCCCACTGCCTTGTGGGTCAGACTTTTGAGTCGAAGGCTCAAGGTGGGGTACCTCAACCAAACCCCCTTCCTCGGCCTGGGCAACCGGGAAGTATCATTTGCCCGCGCAGTTCAGCGTCCACCGATGTCCCTCCCCAACCCCTTCCCACTGCACAAGCAAACGTCGCTGGGCCATTTGACTGTCAGTCATCTGACCGAAGGGCCTTATGCTCCACGCTGCCTACAAACCTTAAACAAAATAACACCTTTCTAAATCCACGAGATCCTTTCTATATAGGAGCTTTTAACGTCCGTACTCTATGTCAAATTGGCAAACAGGCAATGCTTGCTGAAACCTTGTACTCCCTTAAAATTGATGTATGCTGTGTCTCCGAAACACGCATACAAGACCCGAGCGTGGTTCTGCATCTCAGAACGCCAAGGATGAACTCAGCTCTTTCACATTTCTCCCTCCGTGTGTCTGGTGACCCAGAAGCGATGACTCGTGGAATATATGGCGTGGGAGTTGCACTCAGCCCCAGAGCTGAACGCGCTTTGCTGGATTGGATCCCAGTGAACAGTCGTCTCTGCGCCGTCCGGTTATCCAGTTCAATCAAGCTCAATGCCTCGCGGCATAAAAAGCGGTGCCTGTTTGTCGTGTCGGCTTATGCCCCAACGGACTGCAGTTCTGATGCGGAGAAGGATACTTTCTATCGAGAGCTATCCGGGCTCATTCGTCAGGCAAAAAGCACTGACATTGTGATCCTTGCAGGCGATTTGAATGCTCAAGTAGGTCGTCTGAGCTCCTTGGAATCACATTTGGGTGGTCGATTCGGAGTCGATGCTCGCCGCACAGACAACGGAGATCGACTCCTTCAGTTGTGTGCTGATCACGAACTGTTTCTGGCAAGTACGAACTTTCAACATAAACGTTCGCACCGCGTAACCTGGCGGCCGCCAACTACAAATCAACCGTGGACCCAGTTGGACCACGTGGCCATCAGCCACCGGTGGAGAGCCACAATTCAAGACTGCCGTTCTTTCTGGGGCACACCACTTGATTCCGATCACGCCGTGGTGCGCGCACGCTTGACAGTTCGTTTCCCTTCAGGCCATTGCAAGTCGGCAAGAAGCATGCCAATCCACTATCTTCGAAGAACTGCCGTAGCTCAACAGTATCGATCTGAGCTAGCCCAACAACTCTCCACAGTAAAACAATACTGTGGTGGCAGTGAGCATGTGGATGAAGCGTGGCAAAATGTGAAAGGAGCTATGCTAGCGGCGTTCAGTACTGTCTGCCCGACTTCTCCAATTCGACCACAGGACCACTGGATGTTGTCGAGCTCGTTATCCATCATTGATACCAGGAAAGCCATACCAGCAGGCAACGAGTACTACGGCGCACGCAAATCCCTCAAACGCCAAATAGTGAAGAGTCTAAGAAAAGATCGAGAGCTCTGGTGGACATCGAAAGCTCTGGAGATGGAGAAGGCTTTTGCTTCGGGAAACAGCCGTGTCCTTTATCAACTGATACGATCGACTGGCCCTAGGAAAGCAACGGTCAGCTAAACGATAAGTGAAAAAGATGGCTCATTAATTCACTCGCAAAAACGTCGACTGGAGAGATGGTTCGAACACTTCGAAGAGCAGTTCAGCTGGCCTCCTGCAACACAGCCTGTGGAGATAGTGTATACGGGCGAATGGAATGTAAACCTTGGTCGCCCTTCGGAAGACGAAATAAAGTACGAAATAGCTATACTGAAACGTGAGAAGGCACCAGGACCGGACGGTCTGTATCCAACCCTCTTCAAAGAAGGCGGAAATCCCTTTTTGACCCACCGGACAATGATGATGACAGTGGACAGTCAATACACGGGAAGGTCTAAAGCATTAGGAGACAAATTAGACCACAAACCTTTCTTTTGATGTGATGCGTTTGCTGTTAGTCATCGATGGCTCTTGCTTCTTTCTACTCTCATCACTGTGAACGAAAACTTCTTTACCGCAAGCGGTTTGATTATCTTATTGTTTACTATAAATTTGTAGTGTTGTTTTGTCAACAGATTGACATGATTTTGAACTGCAATGGCACAATGTTGCCTACCTTTGAATTGTGCTCACAACGACATTTTTGGCATTGTTGCTAAGGCTGAATCATCGAGTGCTGCCCTTGTATGTATTAGCTGTAACCGAAGCAAATCTCTTTCAGTGATAGTTTGCCCTCATGTAAAAGTGCACGACATGACTGGCATTGCATGTATTCCTGTCTACTGTTGCTCTACTCTGGCTGCGTTGCACGAGCCGACCCCATGAGTGACCTAAGTTGCAGCTGTCTAGGCTTGACCATTGGCGGCAAGCTCCGCACATCGTCGCGCTACGTTTGAAACAAGCATGGGTGTCGGATGTTGACTGTTGTGATCAAATATTTCTAGCCTGACTACAAGCGTCTGAATTTTTCGGAAACACCCCTGTCGCAGCAGGCGCAGACTGTGGACAACGGTCTACTGGTGGTGATCACTATGGTCAGTCACTGTTCCAAAGACACCCATTAACGTCTTTTGGCGGTCGCGTGTGGGTAATGCCTTCTCCAAATCCTTCCACCCATCCAGAGCCCAGTCGGTTGAAGCACTGGTCTCCAACAAAGGCGGTGTCACTTTCCTCTAAAAGTTTACCATTGGAATGCGGGATGAAACATCAGGCAACGTGTAATTGCTGCTGTCAAATTCTTCCACCTCATCAATTAATTATGGCGCAATTACTCACGTGCATACTTCAATTTTCATGTTCTCGTCATCGATAATGAAATTCGAGTCATCCACTGTTAACGCATTTCATGTAGGAGTGAGTTGGATGCATTCCGATTGGGGTTTGACACTTTGACTAGCGACTAAGCGAAACGCCCAAAATGACAACACTTACGGCTTTATAAAGTGGGATTATACACCCCCAACTGTATACAAGACGGCTGCTACGAGCCAAACCCAAACTAGCATCATCGTGTCTGATCTACTTACATCCATACTCTCATCAGCTATCGACCGAATTCTAGTGGGTAAGTGAAAGTGAAAATCTACCTATTAGAAGAGCTGCTCAGCTTGTGCTCATCGGGAAAGCACTATGCTTCATCGATGTCCAATATTCCCTAGGATCCCAAAGCAGGAACTAGGACTCTTATGTTTCCACCAACGCTAGGACACAACCCCGAGTCGTATTCGCTCCAACAGGAAGAAGTATAATCCGTTTAAGGTGGGGGTGGGGTCATTGCATTGTACCTGACGGATCACCATCTATCAAAGAAAACCCTGTTCTCTCTAATCCTTCGTGTGTAAAAGGCCCGTGGAGGACCCTGGAACACGAAATGAAAGCAGCTACCGTCAAGCTTAGCGCTGTTGTATCGGGTTCATGCGATTCTCCTTGCACGCGGTTGGAAACCACCAGGGGTTAGGATACGTAACCGATCCTAGTGGCGAGCCTTAGTCCGACTCTATAAAAACGCTTGTTTTTCTGTGTAAGGCGCGCAAAGGGCGTTTAATTCCAATGTGACGCTCAGTTGTGCTCATTTCTCTGGTTTTGGCAGGTGTAGTAGTAGGTATCTCGCTTTTGGCTGCTTTCTTTGGGAGTATAGGTCTTTTTCTTTTCACCTCTTCATCTTCAATGGCACATAAGCAGCAGTTCCCACTACTGGTGTATTGCTATCCACGATGAGGGTAGATGGTTCAGCATCTTCGCCGTAACTTACTTTATTCATGGCCATTTTCAGGTTTTAAAGTGATGTTTTTCTCCTGAAAGGTGGTTGTTATGTCTTCCCCTGCAAGAGCGACACTGGGATTCTTTCAATAGGATAATGTTACGGGTCTCCGAAAACACTCTTTATTGACCATACTGAGGCTTTTGGGGACCGGATGGGGAACATATTGAGTCGAACTAGCTGGAGATGGCTAGTCTAAGCTGATACATCAATGCCTTCCCACACACGCTGAAACCTTTGGCGGCGACAGTGGCCACTTGTGATCGCCCCAAATACCGGCTGAGTTGCCTGTTAATACCAACTTGATTTCCAGACGAACGGTAACCACTCTTTGTTTCCACGTACAGAACAACAGTGCGAATTCCGAAAACTGCAACCTCCTCTCTAGCGGCGTTCATGTTCGACTCGTCTTGTCTGTATATGGAGCGCCGTTTTTTCCCCGTCAGCATATCGCCAATCGTGCCGTCAATGCTGCTGTCGTGTGTGATCCACATACCGTGCTTTTGGTTATTGATCCGATTGGGTGTCGCCAGCACATTTATTCTACTGAACCGTTGATGTTGTTCGCTCGATCGTCCATATGCCCAACTGGCTTGTGGCCTACAACCTCGAAACGTTGTCGTCATTTCCGGTTTGTAGTTGGGCTGTGGTCACAACTGTTGGCGCTACTGCTAAACCGTAAAGAAAACAAACCATTGGAATAACGTCTTAAATTGACAGCAAAGAGGATTTGTGGGTAAAAATTGAGACCCTTAGAGCTTGACTAGGTAGGTGGTTACTATGACAATTAGGTTTGCCGTTTCGACTCATATTCTCATTTGCACACGCATTTGGTTTTGACAGGAAAGTTTTCAGCAACTTTACGAGTAGTATGTTATGTCTACCATGTTTACCATTGTTCGTCTACACCAACGTTTCGCTCAACGTTGCGTAGAACCTTTACGCCTTGCTGTCTCTATGTATACATTTTCTTAGGCTCTGTGGAGCCAACCATACGAACTTAATTACCCGTTCAGCTGTTGTAACGCCCTTATGTCTACCATGTTTACCATTGTTCGTCTACACCAACGTTTCGCTCAACGTTGCGTAGAACCTTTACGCCTTGCTGTCTCTATGTATACATTTTCTTAGGCTCTGTGGAGCCAACCATACGAACTTAATTACCCGTTCAGCTGTTGTAACGCCCTTCCAGTGCACAGCTGGCACGCCACTGATGCTGGAAGTATTAGTGTCAAGATATTGCCAGGTTACTCAGGCTTACACAGGAACATTCGAGATGCCGGTTTCAAACCACAGTTAGTTAGTTTGTGCCTTACTCGCTGTGTGCTACCCGTTTGTGATCAGTTCAAAATCTCGATGAATGTCCGGAGTTTTCTCCCATTTCGCTCCAGCGCAGCCGGCCCCAACAGATTTCGGTCATGGAATTGTACTGGGCATCGACTAAAGCGCCTCCCTCAGCCACTGCGATTACCATCACCGCAGTTGGGTTACTTAGGACTTACATTTCGACAATGGTCCAATTTTGCCTTATGAAGTTGTGTCTCTTCTGTCCAATTTCTTTCGTGTAACAAATAGATTGACAGACTGTCGCAATTGTTTTCAATCGTATTCTCATTAATTCACTGACAGACGGTCGAATCCACATTTGGCATACAAACGGTGGCAATCACCCGATACACTCGGCGTGTTCATCGTCCAGCGGCAGTCGTGATGCTGTGACGTGCGTCCATTGGAACCCCGTCTTCCCCACGATGATTGCTTCGGTGAATGACGCCGGAGAGGTTTGCATTTGGGGTCCACAACGTATGTCTGTTTTTTTTCTAGTTACCGTCGTCTGAACGCTCTTTTGCAAGATCCCCTAATTCATACTCCAGGTTTTGTCTTCCGACTGGTGTATGTTTTTCATTTGCCGAACAAATAAAGAATGAGTGATGGGTATCTGGAACATTTACTTTCACGAAAGTCGTTCGAGGTATCTTTCGACTAGCGAGACCTAGGCGTCGGAGGCGACTGCCGTGGGGAAGGACCCTCATCTAGTAAAACCGTTCTGGTATCACTTGATCACTGCAGTTGGTTATTGGACGAGCCACAACTGCTTACATGCTAAAGTGTAGTATGCACGTCCAACTTTTAAAAAACGTGATGCTGGTGCAAAAAATGATGGTTGAATGAAGTTTTGCTGCTCCAACGTTTAAATACAGTATCAGTGTTGGACAAAGTGTCACGGGACACACGTTACAAACAATGCCTGTAGGCTTATGGTCGAAGAGGTTTACGTGTATCACGCTAAAAATCGTTTAGCGGTAACACCCTTTCGGTGCCATACCACCCGAAAGAAGCACAAGGGCTGGGGTACTGCCAGGTCGCCCAAGCCTAGATAGGGGGTGTAGAGAGGCAGAGGTCGGGTTTGATCCACAGACCTTCTAGTCAGCAAATTGGCGCTCTAACCACTGAGCCATCACGCTAAGGGCATCATTTAAGGTATCACCCCTCTAACCTCATTTGTATCTCTCTAAATAGGAAGTTTCCAACTGCTCAGTTTGGATGACGATTGTTATCGATACATAGTAAAAATTCAGTTTTCATCGGTTCCCCCTCCCTTGGTTTCGCCTCTTCCTATTCCCTTTTCGATTGTTTTTCAGGTTATCTTCTCGGGACAGGGCAACCAATGGAAGAATCTTCCTGACCTGCCTGTGAATCAGAACATACTTTGTTGTTCTTTTCTTCATAACTTTTGCATATTTGGGAAGTCTGTTTGATATAGAACAATTCCGATTGAGGACCCCATGATTACCTGCTCACCGTCGCCACCCGGACATTA